TGTCAAATGATACCCGTAACCATGTAACTTAATCTCCGAAAGTCACTGATTTGCCTTATTGAAAACTTTGCTGAAGTCTAGAATGGCAGCTTCCACCCTATCGTCAAACTTCCTAACAATAATCATATGGGGTTTGGCCTAACCCCAAGAAATTTATGTTCGACCGTCGTCAGTAACATTAATTGACACAGGACCGTACGTTGTGTCACCGGCGGTGCTGTCAACAGTTCTAGCAGTAACGGTCGTGAACCTCCGAAAGCGGTAATCTATAGAGATCAACTTCTGCGGGGAGAATCGAGCAGTCACCGATAGCGCAACTTAGTGTGAAGGGGATGCATCGTTCGTCAGAGTAAGGTATCTTAACAAGGAGCAGTTCAGATCCCACAGACCTGTGTCCTTACCTAAATTTAGACTCCGTAGTCCCTTCAGGTCTAATTTCATAGTCCAATTACTAACTTGGAGTGCTGCCCTTCCGGCAAAATCCGTTACGGTCGCTCAACAGAATGCGAAGCAAGTACCCTAGGGATTTACTGAGTGTATATCGTGTCACTATGTATAAGCGAGTTTCATAACCAAACCTAAATTCCCCATTGCATCACGATAGTCAGGTATTTGCAAATACATGATTGGCTATACAATACTTTGTATCAAGCCTTACCACTACCTTTCCTTGAAGTGCCTGTATCCGGTCTTAACACTCATATTTTTTACCACCAAGCATGCAAGTGAACCTTATTTTGGCAAAATCGAGCGTTCCCTAATGATTTTTTGAGAAGCGAAAATGGTTCGCCAGAACAGATTTATCAGACTGCTGACGTTCCGGATGGTTTGATAAATCTACCATTTTGAAAATGTTGAGCACACAATATCGAGCAGGGAGTCGAATGACTTGCCGTGCTAGTCGGCCTTGAGGTGGACGATTTTCCTTCGCTGCCTCGAATGTTCGGCGGAGAGCTGACGGGTTTGACTCCTGCCTGCGTTTTTAGTCATTGCCTCGATGACGAATAGTTGGGCCTCTGTGGGGACTGTTTGGTCTAACAGCCCCGCTTCCCGATGGGTAAGCAGTCCAGTAACTTATTCAGGTGTCAAACCCGTCAGCCATCCGCCAAAAGTCAAGGCAGTTGAAGGAAAATATCGTTCAGTGAAAGACCGGCTAGTCCAAAAAAGTAATTTAAATTTCTGTTCGATAGTGTACATTTGACGCTTTTAAAATTGTCAACTGACTAAACTCCAAAAAGCCAGCAATGTGTTAAATCTGTTCGGGTGAGCCGTTCCTCCTCAGATTTGAACACTGTTTTTAAAGTCTAGCACCCTTTTAAAACTGCATTCGCCGCCTGGGCAGCGACATAACCCTCATAATTACTGTTTTTTGCTATCGATAGTCAGCATAGTAACCTGCTAGCTTTTTATAACTCCGTCTAAGTCCAAGTATTCTGCTGAAGCCAATGTCTTTCTCGGGAGGAGCATTTCCGCTTTAGAGCTTCATTCGTTGTTTGACTTCTCAAGTGTCGAAGTAGGCTACTCATCTCCAGGGGCTGGAGAGTCGTGGGCCCGATGCGCATTATTAGCCACGTGGGTAACCTGACCTACTATTCCCTTCACATGGATCGACAATGCCATTTGTGTATGGGTCATGTGCAAATTTTCAGCCGTTCGCGCCCGCAGCAGTAATTGACGGGCACTGCGGTCGTACCTATAGTCTGACTTTTGTTATGTATTGGAGCAAAGCCACACAGACTGCAGACAGTTCGTTGTGTTAGTTGACTGAGCGATTTTTTGACAGCTAAGACTGTTAACAGTCTTATGGCAGCAATTGTGACTGCCATGCCACGTGTTCGTCACCTCGGCCTGGGTCGCCACCTGCAACTTTGGGCCTACCTCTGTGCGGCAAGTTTTTCTCGTGTATCTTCCTCTACACTCACCAGTCGATTTCGTCGCCGTGTCAGCCCTCATTGGTTAAACATTTAGCTCGGTAGACGACGACTGACTTTTTCCTACTAGGATTGAGGCCTTATGGCACTCGACCTGCCGACAAAGTCCTGAGTTAGACTGAATGTCCCGCCGTAACTTTTGCTGATTTATTTCCTTATTTCGAGGCCTCTGACCCCGAAGGGTTCGCAGGGCTGACCACACTCGTACGCTTGCTGGCTGGCTAGATGCATTGAGTTCCTCTTTGTCGATGGAGCATGAAAATTTGTTACGTTTCTGCTGCAACGGGTTGTTGCCGAAATAAAATAAGCATTTTATCCCTGTTTATTTTGGTTCTCTTTGTTGTTGAGGGCCTCGGCAGTGATAGTTAAGGATCCGGGCGGTCGACAGAATGCTGCATCATGAGTGTCGTCAACAACCTGTCGGTTTGGATGCTGCGTCGAAGATAAACATCGATTTAATCTTCACCGGAGGTCGGAAGGCTGTCAAGGCATTAATTTAGAGGAGGAACGTGTCCTATTACGAACTGATAAAGACAGAAGTATCCAGAACATTGCACATAACCGTGGCAGAATCTGTAGCTGTTAAAAGCAGTGTAGTTCTCCATACTCGCCGTTTATCAGGCCATTGCAAGCATAATTTGTCACTACTAGCAGACGCTCGCCAGTAAACAAAATTTTAACCAGTTCCCGTGCACCAGCTTAGGCTCAGCAGGATGACTTCCAAATCCATCGGTTCTACTTGATCAGACCGGCTAATCCTGTGGTAAAACTGTGAAGCCAGTGGCTTCCGAATCTTAAAATAACAATACAAGGATTGCAACTAGGTGATTTTCCTGGATTCGCAAAACAGTTAATTTGCTTTAAATAAGACACTTAGGAAGGTGTTCTGTTTTAAATTTGCTAGCAGTAATTGCTTAGTACACAAATGACGCATATTGTGATGCACTTCTGGGAATTTTGTACCCTGTCAGGTTGATACTAGGGAGATACAGCATCAATCCTTAACGGAATGCCCCTCCTGATTGAAGCCTCGATTTCACAGAATAAGACAACGTAGGTCTTAAGGGCCGTGTTGCCAAATGTACTTGTGCTTGGCAAGGCTCTGATCATGCTTGTTCTAGCCGACTCTGATGACGTCGCCAGCCATATCACCACGCGCGGTGATCGGCAGCGAACTTGGAAGACTCGACCCGTTCTCTTCTTCCATGACGGATACTGAATGCTAAAGGTCCGAAAATCACATTCATGTCTTGACTGACTGTGTCGATCCGGGTTTTGACTTGGTCTACTCTTCCACGCCTTCAGGTGGGCAATTGCATCGGATTAAGGGCAGCAACACTGAACCCATGGGACGTGCGACGGTGTTCATTCAACCACGGTCGTCTTTCACTTATGTCCTGAGGTATACTTGCGATGTTGGCGGGGAGATTTCAGACTTATTAGCGACGAAGTCAGCGCACCTCACTGGGAGGATCATTCACAGACAGCAGTTATCAGAAGCCTCCAGTTTACTCTCATCTTTCATGCGCGCTGCCCAACATTCGTAACTGCATGGAAGGACTGACCTGACAGGGCGCGGGGACACGCGAATATTTCGGGTGACGGATATATTACGTCGGTCCTTGTTCCACTTTCTAAGGTTTGTGAAAACTCTACACAAAGCATCCACTCTGAAACTGATGTCGTCTTGCTCTGGCGCATTTGAAGCTTTCCACTTCTTCAACTTGCCCGTAAACCATTGCAAGGGATGGTCTTTCCTGGTAGGAGATGCACCTCGAAAACACTGGTCCTCCCAGCGTTTATGAGTGAGCGGACGGCCTGAGCGACCTCAATCACTCGTGACAACACAGTCTGTAGGTCACGAAAGCCCTAGATTATTAGGAAGATATCGCAAACCTATTCGAGATCAGTCAGCAGTCGTCTGGGTTCAACTTCGACACCATGAAACTCCTGCAGGGCTCTTCCGTAGTTGCATAGCATGGGCGACAGAATGCAACCCTATCAAACACCAGACCGAGAACTTGTCTTGGTTGGGTCTCATTCTCGAACCACACATACTCTGGAATCACCCAAGAATGACAATAACCAAAACCCCTCCGGGTGCGCTGATGGCTTATGCCGTGGTATTCTCACACTGCCTTATCGAGCCTCTTGAGTGCAGGCACCGGGATGTTCGAACCCCAATCCACATTTGTCGATCACTAGGTGACAAATTACGACGCCCATCACGTCAGTTCGAACGTGGCTACCGTCGATATCCACTGTATGCCCCACAGCGGGATGGGCACAGGACGGTGACTTGCTCCCACGGCGTCCCCCCCCCCCACGCACAAACCTGACTGCCTCTGCCATGAAGCAATTGGGTGAATCCCAGTGACCAAAAACTCGAGTTTGACTCGTGGGTTATTCGGGCTCCGGGGCAAGCGTATGTCTGGGTGATGAAGACTGACAAGCCAGAAACGGCCATTGCAATCTCCTTCGTCATTGTCAATAATTTGTTCAAAAGACCAATCAAAACCAGGCTGTCCCCGTGCTTGGGAATTTGGACCAGTCAGCGATACGTCTTTTTGAAGTGTTTTTATGGCACACCACCGTCGTTGTACCTGCGTTAATGAGTCCGATTCATTTGAAACGAGAAACCAGGACATTTGTAGCAGGCACGGGCCGTGGCGATTGCTCGGCCAGCAGCTGTACCCTAGTCCATCGCGGTTGCAAGAGGAGTAGTGTCCATGCTTTGCAGGGTTTCTGCTTCTCCGACACGGTGGTCTTCCCCGTTTTATCCGATTGACTATCGTGGGGGTAGTGGCGGCGGTGGGGGCGATCAGAAAGCCTATATTTGGCCTAGTTTCATGCCTCCCCTCTGGGCAGGACCCAGTTTTGAGGGCTTCGTTCGTTACCTATTTTCTTACTCTGTTTATCATCCAAACATCACGAACTTCCAGTTTTCTGTCCACATTATGCATCATCCACGCTACTTGTTTCCATCCCAAGTTTGTTCAAGTATCTTGCTCTTTTTTGCCTCAGCTGACCTAATTGTCGTCTTTTATTACCTCCAGAGCGCGAAAAACTATGAGCGACGCATGTGAATCCTCCCCGCCGCTACCAGTATCACAAGAGGCTGTTTGCACCGTCAAATCCGAAGCCCCAGGTACTGTCTCCCGTCCCGAGGGTTTCTTTTGAGTCGGTCAGACGCATCGCGTTTGCTCCCTTTAAACGCACCCTATGCATATCTCTTATATTTCAGACCCTACCATCACTTGTAAGACGGAGGAGCCCTGGGCCACCAAAGAAACAGTCGAAGACAAGAACACTACTTTGTCGACTTCTGGTGACCGGACGAAAACTTCCTCTGGTAATTACTCTTTGATGCCAATACGACCAGGGCAGTTGTGGCCTCGCAGGCGGTGTGCATGTAACTGCCTCATCACTCCTGCCTTCCACACCTCACCGACACGGATTTTTTTGGTTGAGAGCACAACCATCACATCGTATTCCACCAGGTTAATAGCATAGACAGGGCACTCCATGTGGGGAAGTTTCCCTTGAGCACTCGTAATACGCTGCCTCTCCAGCAGTGGGTCGTCGGCATGCCTATCTGACTGATCTACCGCATAGGGGCCGTTCTCTCGATAAGTTTTGGTGGACTATTCTACCACTCCACATACTGGCAATCCTCCAGGCGTTTGGACACGCATAGTTTCGGTTGTTGCTATGTTGGCTCATCCAACACACGACTGAGTTGTGTGCAGTAAGTGCGGGAAGAGCGAGCCGCTGCCCTCCTCAAACAGACCTCAGCGAAGGCCATCTGCGAATTAAGCAGGCCCTGGGTGTCTGGCGAATTAGCAGTCGTGAAGCATGCAGCAGTATCATCTCCAAGCGTGATTGGCCACCGATCTGTCAAATGGGATGCCTGCCAGGATGGCTCGGTTGTCGCCAGCGACGACGCTCACCGAGTGCCGAGCGGATTGAATGCGACACCGGTGGTTTGTGCGTGAGCTAATTTCTAGTGAGACAGGCTTTTGCAGCATCTTCCGCACCCTAGTCTCCCTTCACTCACCAACCACTTTCAGATGGCAAGGCAAAGTAAGGACGGACGGAGGTAGGTTTGCGTGCTGTGACTGACAGCGCTAAGCAGCCTGCCTGCGCGTGCCACACACGACCTAGCCTACACCAGGTTAAACAGAGGACATGTTTCCCACGTACGTGAATGTGCATGTTCTGACATGCGACGTTTCGCCCGCTAGAGCGCGCTGGTAAGGTGAATCACTTGCTTGCCGCGGGAGTGATGTATGGTGTGTGTATACGCGCAGAGGTGTCGTGTACGCGCGTATTGTGGGGCAGGTTCGTGTGAAACCTGGAGTGTGTGCAGGTAGGGCCAGGTAGAGTGATGGGGGTGTTGGCTGGAGTGCTTTAGTAAAGACTTTCGGGGATGCACATACGGCCAAATAGGCCCCTGCGATGATCGAACGTCCCGGAACAGTGTAGGCACGTGAGAGGGGCGTATGTTGGGGCTCTTGGCTTTGGTTCACGGAGCGCAGGTTGGGAGTGAGTCCATATTGATAGTAGTGGTGGTAGTGGTAAGAATGGGGTAGTAGGCAAATGAATTTACTTCCGCTGTGTTACAGCTGATTGAGACGGTTTGTGCTGAAGCTGATGAGCTGGCTGAACTGACTTGACGATGGATTCGAAAATGTCCGGCTAGACCGATGCGCGCCCTGACCGTCAGTTGGCAAGGCGATCATGTTGGTAGGTGTTGTGTGTTTGAAACATCGTTTCGTGATGTTCTGAATTTGCGTTCTCTCTGTCTTTCTGGCGTCGCCGCTCGCGGATCCAGTTCTTACGATAGTTCACCACGCCTGCCGATTCCCGACGAGGTCTTTCCAGGTCAAAAGGCTGATCCCGGGGAGATCGTTAGGGTGTCCTTGTAACGACGTTTTTCTCGTAGCACCCGTAACAGCGTCACGCTAGAATGGCCGTTCGGGTAGACGCTCGTTGTTCGTCTTCAAGACGTGGTCGCTGCAACGCAGTTGTACCTGTCCTACCGAGGCGTGAATACTGGGACTTTCGAGGATTTTCATGTCGCGGATTCTGCCCTGCCATCTCAGTTTTTGTATTAAGAGGAAACAGCTTAGGTGAACGTTGTTCAGTTTTTCTTGCCTTGTTTTCGCAGGTTGCCCATGTCTCCGCCTCGGTTCGGGTGAAGGTCGCGGTGATCCCAAGCTGAGTGCTGCCGACGGTCGAGGCCTCACTGGCCCTGAATATCCGATTTGCGATTTCATCGCCAACCCCGATGTTTCTTGAGAATGCACCTCTTGGGTTGGCAAACTTGTCCATAGGTGTGAGCCAGGTTTCATTCGCGCTGATCCAGGACGTGGTGCACCCACCAAATGATACTGGTTAATGCATCACCACTGTTTGCTCCGTGTTGATAATCAGTTCGAAGTTTGCGCAGTCGGAGGTAGAAAAGTCCGTGTTTTACTGCATGACCGCCTCTGTCGTGGTGTTGACCACGAAGCCATTTCGCGACAAGATCACGAACGCTAGTCGTGGCGGCTCGCGTGGATGTGTTGAATGCTAAACAAATGTACGTCACTTCGATAGGCGGTGTTTATTCGTGGACGCCCCTCATGGTAGCGTCCATCATGGCATGGCGGAGAACATGAGACTAATGGTGGGACCAAGTACCCAACCCTGTTTCAACCCATTTGTCGGTGCAAATGACTCCGAGAAAGCCCATATTATCCTTGACACGAGTCATCACTCCGCCGTGGTTGTGCCGTCTATGTAAAACGCCCTTGGTGGCAGAATTTCAGATTTATTTCCCAGAGTCCATCGCGGTTCACTGTATCGGGTGTCGTTATCAAATCTACAAAGGTGATGTAGAGTCACATCCCCATTTCTCAACATTCCTCTTGGAGTTGGCGGGCAGCGAAAATCTTGTGGACCACCCTGCGGTCCCTTCGAAATCCACATTGGCTTTCAGGGGGAAGTCCTTTCACTAGATGAGGGTCCAGACAATTGAGTAGGACACGGGCGAAGACTCCCCTATTATGTTAGGAGGAGAGTGAACCAACGCCTGGCGCAAAGCACTAATGGTTTCGTGCAGCAAGTGCAGATGCTCTGGGTCAGGGTTTAGTCTCCATTTTAAGGAGTCCGTCGAGGATTGTGGATGGTCGATTAAGGACGCCTCTTAAGTGCCCAACCCACATCCTCAATTTTTCCGTCAGGTGGATTGTCCCATGGGGACAGAACAGTGGCTCAGTCCCCTTGATTTGGGGTTCGTAGGTCGTTTTGATTGACTCGAAAGAGTTCATTTCATTTCTGTCCGCATACACCCTTACATCATCCTCAGACGCTGCCCCACGAGCTCCCTGGTAGGACATACTGAGATCCGTTGGCGCTGACAGGAGCGATTTCCTGGCTGACAACAATCAGGTACATCATGCAAATAAGGGATCTTTAAAGTCTAGAGACATTCGGACCCCGATACCCTTATGCCTCACCCATGGGACTTTTGGTTGCAAAATGTCCGTTTGGTCAGAGTTCCCAAAAAGATTTACTTTCCGACATGGGTACTCACTATCAGGGCGGAGCATAACAGGGTGTGTATGAATGCAGCCAGTAGACGCCTGTTTCCCTGCCAGAGTAGACAGAATTTAGTCTTGATGTCACTCCTCCGAGGTCACCCGTCATCCACCAACCGAAATTTAAAATTAAATAAGGGGCCGATTTTGTGCTCGGATAACGCCAAAGATCCTATAAATTTGCAGGCGCACAGAAATGTTTGCGCAGACCTAAAGGTCTCGGTTTGCGCCACAAGTTTGCAAATCAACTTTGTCCGCCGTTTCCTTGTAATCGCATTCATGATCTTGTTTTAGACTCGTCAACGTTTGAGTGCAACATATGTCATGCGATATTAAGCGCGAAACACAATCTCAGGCGGCACATTTCCGAAGTTCATGAACGTACGTCCCTGGGGCTCCTCTCGTTAGTATGAGCTCCATCCTCTTATTCGTGTCCTCTTACTTTTTTCATTTTCTTTCCCACAATCAATCCGTCGTCTGTTTCATCATTTCTCATCTTAGTCCACTCATGTATATCTTCGCGCAGTGCCCACTGCCCTCCACCACTCTTTCCTCCCAGTCTTATTGCGTTGTTATTTCTATTATATATATATATATATATATTATGATAGTGGGCGCTCACCGATCAGGTTACGGAACATGCTCGTTCCGTTGTGCCTTGGGGCTCATACTTAAACCCTCGCAGGCAGTCGCACAGCGTGAATAATTTCAGAAATTAATCAGTGCAGAACTTGGAGTTAAATCTCCGGGACATATGGAATTCATACTACTCGTAGTACTACTTGTTTGCAGAATGGGCATTACGTGGTTATTCCACAGTAGTTGATTGTCTTCGACTCAAATGTTCATTGAAATTTCGGTTCTGACCCTAAAAAGTCATGTCCCGGAGATTTAACTCCAAGTTCTGCACTGATTCATTTCTGAAATTATTCACCTGATTATTCTCTGGAGTTCATATACCGGAAACCGTTAGAGAACGCTGGGGGTCCCACTGAAGAGCCGAACCCCTCGCAGCTGTGTCACGCAGCTGCAGAATATCGGCGAAACACGTGTCTGGGCTTTTAGCAAGTATCTAGGTCGGGAGTACGGTATAATACCTTAATATATTTATATATATATATACACATATGGCAGATGGTTATACCGTACTCCCGACATAGATGCTAGCCAAAAATCCAGATACGCGTTTCACCCATGTTTCTGCTGCTGTATGATGCAGCTGCGAGAGGTTCGGCCCCTCAGTGGGTCCCCTCCGCGTTCTCTGTGCGGTTTCTGGCATGTGAATTTCGGAGCGTAATCAAGGTAATAACTTCAGAAATTATTCAGCGCAGGGCATAGAGTAACGTGTCCAGCGCATGACGTTTTGGGGTCAGACCCGGAATGCCAATGAACATTTTTGGCATTTCGGGTCTGACTCCAAAAGGTCATGTCCCGGACACCCAACTCCATGTCCTGCACTTACTGATTTCTGAACTTATTAATTTGACATATATATCTATATATAAGGGTTGAGGGGCGCTCACCGATCGTTTCTATGGAACTTAACCGTCCCGTTGTGCTTTAAGGCTCTCTCTCTCTCTCAAGTAGAGCCGCACCACGGCACATGATATAGGCAAAATAGTATTACCGACAAAGACTAGGGAGACTGGACTGGCCATTTCTGGCTTATTAGCCCCTGTGAGCCAGTCATACCCAACCCCAAAGTGTACATATATACACACGTCAAGTAAGCGTTTGACCCTCAATGTCGTGGTTAGAATCTCACTCGATCCCATTCTGTCCGCTCGTCAGCCTGCTACTGACGACAATGAGCGCTGTGTCGTAGGATACATACCGCATATAATACATACGCAGCTCACAAAAAGTGCAACAGGCCAGACGCAGACAGCTGTTTCACGGTCGTTGCCGGTCATCTGTACGCCCTAGGACATATAAACTAGGGTACTTGTACTTGATACGGCTGCGATAATGCCTGATCTAGCCGGCCTCGATGATGTCCCGAACTGTACCTCTCCACGCGTGACGATCCGCGGCAGCAGATCTGGACAGCTCAACCCATTCCCTTCGACAACGACGGAGACCGAATACCGAAGGTCCAAGAACCACCTCCATGTCTTGACGAACTGTGTCGAGCCAGGTTTTGAACTGACCCCCTCTTCGACGCCTCCAATAGGGCAACGGTGCCGGATCGAGGGCAGTAACACTGAGCTCCTGAGGTGGACGACGAAGAACATGCCCGAACCACCTCAGTCGTCTTTCTTGGATGGCCTGAGTTATCCTTGCGATGTTGTCGCAGTGAGCGCGGACTGTCTCATTTGAGACGAAGTCGGTGAACTTCACTCGAAGGATGGTCCTCAAGCAGTGTTGGTCAAACACCTCCAGTTTTCGCTCGTCCTCCACGCGCAAAGCCCAGCATTCACAACCGTAGAGAATGACAGACCGGACAGATGCACGGTACATGCGAATCTTAGTGGCGATAGAGAGGTCACGTCGGTTCCACAGGCATTTCCGAAGGCTTGAAAAAACCCAGCGGGCAGCATCGATTCGGGAGACAATGTCGTCCTTACTCTGACCATTAGGCAGCAGCCTCGCCCCAAGGTATTTAAAACTGTCTACTTCTTCAAGTTGACAGCCATCAATCCCGAGAGGTGCCTTCTCCTGGTCAGGGATGCAGCCTGAGAACACTTTGGTCTTCCCAGCGTTTATGGACAAACCGACCGATTTAGTGACCTCGTTCACCCGTGACACCATAGACTGCAGATCACCAAAACTTGAAGCAAGTAAGCCGATATCATCGGCATAGTCGAGATCAGTCAGTCGATGTCCGGGTGCAAATTCAACGCCGTCACTGTCGCGTAGGGCCCTCCCGAGGATCCAGTCAATAGCGTGGTTGAACAGTATGGGTGACAGGATACAACCCTGTCGAACGCCAGACCGAATACCGAACGGTTGGGGAAGATTGTTACGGACCAGGACTCTCGCAGTAGTGGAACGATAGTAGGCCTTGATCATGGCGATGATTTTTGCCGGTACACCATCTAGCGCCATTTTCCGCCACAGGGACTCACGGTGAACGGAATCGAACGCGGCGGCAAAGTCAACGAAGCAGACGGCCGTCGGTTGTTGGTAGCTATAGCGAAATTCGAGAATGCGTCTCAGTGTGAATATCTGATCTGCGCATCCACGTCCAGCACGAAATCCGGCTTGGTTGGGCCTCGTCCTTGAGTCACACACAGCCTGGAATCGCCTAAGTAAGACAATAGCGAAGATCTTCGCAGCAACGTCGATGAGACTTATGCCGCAGTAGTTCTCGCATCTCGTCCTATCTCTCTTCTTGAGGATAGGTACAAGGATGCCTAAGCCCCAGTCATCAGGAACAACCTCGTCTCTCCACGCTCGTTCTATCACCTCATGGAGCCAGGGCGCCAGAGTGTCGACACAAAACTTAAAGATTTCAGCGGGTATACCCTCCTCACTGGGTGCCTTATTGTTGCGCAACTTTCGTATGGCATCGGCGACTTCTTCCTCGGAGGGGGGATCGCATGGCACTGCATAGGTAGAAGAGGGAAGAAACTCCGCTGAGGATGAGAGCAAGGGCGAGGTAGGTTGGGTATCGAAGTTGAGATGGTGCTCAAAGTGCTCACGCCAGCGTTCGACTTTGGCCGAGTTGTCAGCACTAAAGCCGTCGTTCACATCGCGAACAGAGTCACTCAGTGTAGAGGGCTTACCACTAACTTGGCGGATAAGTTGGTAGAGTTTTCGAGTGTCACCAACGTTCGAGGCCTGTTCCATGGAGGTCGCTATTTCAGCCCAATATTGTTTCCGGTCATCCCTGGCCGATTTTGCCGTCATCTTCCGAAGTTGGTGGAAGTAGTCATCGTTGCGGGACCTGGCTCTAGCCGTCTGAGCAGACAACTGCATGGTTCTTCCGCTGATCCAGTCACTGCGGCGTCGCTGGGTGTATCCAAGGATTTTCTCAACTGCCGCATAGACTGAAGTCTTCAGTGACGAGCACTGGTTACTGACTTCCCCGTCGGCTCGGGTCGTAAAACAGCGTTTAACCCTCACTGTTGTGGTCAGGGTCTCACTCGTAATGACGTAACTGCTGATCGGTAACTACCGTGAAACAGCTGTCCACGTCTGGCCCGTTGCAGTCCTAGTGAGCTGCTTATGTATTATATGCGGCATGTTTCCTATGACACAACGTTCGTTGTCGTCAGTAGCAAGCTGGCAGGCGGACAGAATGAGATCGAGTGAGATCCTAACCACAACAGAGAGGGTCAAATTCTTACTTGACAGGTTTATGTACCTCAGATAGTATGGCCTATGGCGCACTGGTGATCGGTAACGACCGCGGGCTGTCTGTGTCTGGCCTATTGCGCTCTTAGTGAGCTGCTTACCTATTATATTTATATCTTTTACCCGTATGCCTTAGCTCTAATTTCTGAGTTAGTCATTCCCATCTCTAGGAGCTTTCTTTCGGGTGTCATCGATCTCTTATCTTCAATTTTTCAGGACGCCGCCCTTTCAAGTGCGAACTGTGTGGCAGTGCTTTTACGCAAAAAGCCGCCCTCAAGAGGCACGACGATGTTATCCACCAGGGTAAGCTGAGCTCTAATGATCATGTCTGTAGGTGTTCTACGACTCTTGCCACATGGTTCTTTTACCTTTTTCAAACTCACCGTCCGTGTACTTTAGCAGTCAGAGCACAAAATGCCGCAGGCAACCACACAGCTTTTGACTGCTGAAATATGGGCTTTGTATAATCCAAGCATGGCTCTCATAACGGGCCACGCTGTGGAGGCGCTGTGCTAAAATGGGGTTAAATTGGCGCACCGCACGCGTTAATAGGGCTTAAAGACTTATGAAGGGATGCACAATGGTACGCCTAGGCGCAGGCCTCGCGCCGCGCCAGCCACGAGCCCAACCCCAGTACCGCATAGCTGGCTGGCTCGGACAGCCAACTGGTGCGGAGAAGAGGGTATGAAGGGCGAGGCCGACCGTCGGATGGCCATTTCCACGGCGCCGCATCACACTTCTCGCTAATACTAAATCTGACATCGATGGGATCAGAGCCGCCCCTTTGTGAGAGTCTGGTACATTGTGCAGAGATCAGGGCGTTGTTGTGTGGCGCGCATAGACGGGTTGTTTATCTTTGTTAGCCACTGCACCCGGGTCCTTTTTGCCGCCGGTCCCATGTTCATGAGGGAGGGTAGATTGCGACCGGTGTAGCGCAAGTCTGCTATCATTACAAACCAATTCACGCACAAGTCAGCTCCCTGCACCAACCCTGTGTTGGCACACGGGGACATTGTCGTTTGCGACGGTTGAACCCAAATTTGACATAGTAATCTAGGGATTCTTTTCGTGACCTTTCTGCTTGCCGACTTTTATACTTCACTCCACGGACGGCAGCGAAGAGGGCGAGTCGAAGCAAAACCAAAAGGCTGGTTTATATTCAGAAAAGGTTGGATTCTTCCACAAGGTCAGTTGTGCGGCCAAATCGGAGTATGTAGAACCGATGGAAATCTATTTATCCTGTTGGCAAACGTCTGCAGATGTGAAGGACATGTTGAATGATTCAACGTACTGACAGCACAAGTACTAGCTAAGAGCCCAGACACCTGTTTCGCTGATTTACCAAAGAAATTAAAAAGCCCAACAGTGAAGAATACGCATTTCCAGGACTCGGAAAACAAAATGCTGCGGCACCGTTGGTTTTGACAGGCTCCTGTGCGATAGTTGCCATGCTACCTCTAGAAAAATTGATGCCAAGACCGGAGTCCCGTCGGGCGAGATCCCTACTTCGCCTGATTCAATTCGTTGGTCGAACTGAAGGACCTACTGAAGGCTTCGTCGAGGAAGTCTAACCACTGAGCAACTTCCTATGCACTGGTTGAGCCAGACATTTTACGGATCGAGCCGGCTAGAAACTGAAGACGGCCTGGCGCGGAATTAACCCGACTGTCCGAGGACGAAACCACTGGCATTTGACGGGCCGGCACAAAATCACACAAGGGAATTGAACCGGGAGTAAGACAACACAAGAGCCTCCACATCCCCCCCCCTCCCCCCCCGCCTGCATACTAAGCCACGCGCAACGGGACCGAACCATCCTAGTGTCTTGTTTCTTCAACAGAGGCCCTTAAAGCCAGAACTGACCGACTGGTCATGTTGCATTCTCCGCTTTTCTCGAGTTATGCTCGAGAAAATATGCAAAAGCTGATAGCATCAAATTCTGTGACCCTTGGCGTAACTCTTATTCTTCATTTTCCACTTAACTCACCGAATTGGAGTCAGAACCCTCACCTCGCTCACCCCAAGCCTTGAACGTCTCAGTTTATCACAGCTGGCGTAGTCGAGTCCGTTTACGAGCTCTGTTTTCTATCGTTACAACTCTAGGTAATCCAGTAGGTGACAGTTGGAGTTCTTGCAGGCATTTTAGGCTTGTAACTGCCAGTTCTGTTAATGACGGTTCGGAATTAATTAACGTTAATTTTCCCTTCGCTACCTTCCCCCTAGGAATCGCCAACTTTGTGTGTGATCAGTGCGGATATCGTTTCACCAGTGCGGTAAAACTGCGCCTGCATATTGACAGTGTACATCTGGGTATGTTTTCTTCTCTCTCTCTCTCTCTCTCTCTCTCTCTCTCTCCCTCTCTCTCTCTCTCCCTCTCTTACTTACCTAAGTTTCATTTGCCTTGCCGATAGGCGACAATACTTACTCCCTTCTTTGTTTAGCACATTTGATTAGGAAGAAACTGCCCAAGCCATATTTTACTGTTTTGAATACACCTGACGTAGAAGTGGGACGAAGTGGGACTGAATTTAATTGTCCCCCCGAGGACACTTGCCGTTCCCTCCCCTCCTACTGAAGCCTTCACTGAATGCCCAACAGTGCTGAGGTGGAAGTGCGATTGGTCCCCATGTGAGAAGGGCATTCTCGGCGCTGTCATGTCTGGTCTCCCAACTGTCGCCTATATTCACCGTCTGCCGAGGGGCTTTCCTAAGCCACTGGGCATGACTCCACCCAAGTTTTCCCAATGAATTTCACGTAGGAATCGTCTCTGTCCCCCGGCAATGGTGATCCGCCTATTGTTAGGGAATGTTTTACGATGGAGAACTTGCTTAGACACAGAATGCTTGCTAGGAGTCACGCTTAAACCAGCTGCATGCTGAGAATTTTACGAGAACACACATGCTCACCTTCGTCTCGCGCGAAGCCTGCGAGTAGATAGCTTACTCAGCCTACCGTCTCTTTTTGTTTACAGATTTGCGGAAATTTGTATGTGATCTTTGCGGAGCCGACTTCAAATCAAAACAACGCCTGAACAGTCATGTAAACGCCGTACACGAAGGTTAGTTAACTCAACCTCATCCGATTTTTGCCTTCCATTATGATCATTTTACCTCGGAGGCTTCCACCAAGTGGTTAATTTAGTGGATTTTCGGTGCATTTGTTGACTACTATCAAGTCGCTTGTTTAGCCACTTGCTCACCGTGTCTCATTGAATATTTTATCAAGTACCGACTTGATTTGATTCCATTCAGGTGGCTTCGTGGATTTAAATGTTACCAATCTATTTGTGAGGTGTTTACGGCGTTTTAGCCCTCTTAAGCTGTCAGTTTGTTTGGGGTTCTCTTTCTCCTTTTTAGAGTCACCGGCTCTGCAATGTGAAATTTGCTACTCCATTTTAAGCTCGAAATCCAGCCTCTCGAGACACATTGCTTCAGTCCACGCGGGTAGGTTTCGTTTTATAATTTCCTCCTCCTGCTCAGCCTGTTCATGCGGCTTAAAATGCCTCAATCTTGCCTCCTTCAAGGTGAACCTTTTGACTGTGTAAGCCAGCTGTTGTAACGTACAAAGGCCAGCAATCAGTAGTCTTGTCTCCATGTTGAAATGGGGAGAGTTATTGGACCTACACTCGTAGCTAACTACTTAAACCACTGGGCGTATTGCCGTCTGCCTTCATCACAGCGGTTCGCAGTCTTAGTGCGTGATTTTTGTTCGGGTAAAAAATGCGAAACTAAATGACACTGGACAGGCATATGCCAAATAGGGTCTATTTTCACGGACATTTTATTGTTCAGCCTATGAGTGAGTAAAATATGCTTATAAGTATAAATATAAACGCATACGAATGACGGAGGTAGTATGCATCCTGCGATGATATAATAAGGAGAAAGCTCGTCGGAAAATCGAGATGTACTCGTGCATTTTCAAGTCGGTTTACACCAACCAACTGGGAGGGGACTGAAGTGATCGCCAGTGCCAACACTAAACAGGCGCGAGACTTTCTCGAAGCTCGGCATCAACCGCCATGTCGACCTGGACGCTCACTACGAAGGTTTGCGTTAACGGCACACTGACTTGCGCTCATCCCAAGACATCAGATTCTGGTCCCCGTTAGGTCATGTAGAATATCACGGATTCCGCACCTCCCCAACAGAGTGAACCACAACTGAAACCCTCAACATCTTCCCTGCTTTCTGGCGCCTATCTTAACACGTTATCCACTGCCCTCACATGGACCTCTGTTTTGTCGACATAACCTCGATTTTTTCCCTGCTCTCTAGTGTGATTATCCCTCTTCCCATTATTCATTTCGTCTGACGACGGATTGACGTAGTCGACTTGTAAATTCACGAGTACATCGCAATTTTCCGACGAGCCTTCTTATTAGAAACATATATATTTGTAGATCGGAGGAGGTATGTATTCCGAACCGCGATATAGCGAAAATAGGAAGAGGTTCCTTGGGAAAATCGAGTTATGCTCGTGAATTTTTGAGCTGGTGACACCAACCCATCGTCAGACGAAATGAAAACAAAAGAGGAAGGTTGTCACACTCGAGCAATTGTTTATGACATAAACATATTTTTCAAATAATTGGCTGAGCATATGTTTGCTTTCCCTCCTTT